GAGGGCTGCGGCCCGGTCGGCGGCCGCTCACCATGCCGGCCAAGCACCAGCACTTCCCGGAGCCCGCGGTCGGCTGCTGCGGGAAATACTTCCTGTTCGGCTTCAACGTCGTCTTCTGGGTGAGCCTCGGGGTCCGCGGCCCGGACGCTGCACCCCGACTCCCTCCTCCCCCCCCACTCCGAGAGGCCCGGATTGCGGGGGGCGGGGCCGCGGGGGTCCCCGGGGGGGGAGATTGGCACCCTCGCCCTGCGCCGATCTGTGGGGGGGACGGTCTTGGGGGTGGGGTGAACCCCACAAGAGAGGATTGGGGGCCTCCGGGCCTCTGCAGCACCCCGGGATCCTTGGCCACGCGGTGTGTGTGGGGGCAGTGCTGGGATGCGCTGGGGGAGCGGGAACCCCGATTTCCTAGGCCTCTCTGGGCCTGCTTTGGGGTGCCCCCCTCCCTTCCTGGCGGGGTGGCATCTGTGTATCCGTCCACATCCCCCCCCACACACACCACACCCCGGGGCCTGCCAAGTCATCCTGGCCTCCTCCCTCCTCCACCTCCTCGGGCCTCCTCGGGCCCTGGGGTCAGGAAGAAGCCAGACTAATGGTGATCGCCTGGGTTGGGTGGCACCTGTCCCCGTGTGGGGGGGTGATGAGCCCCAGAGAGGGGGGACCCCCACCGTGCCCAAGGTGGGGACAGCTGCAGGCAGCCGTGGAGGCCCGGGTGTGGCAGGCCTGGGTGCCAGGCCTGGGATCCGTCCGTCCCCCTGTCCCCTTGGGGGGTGGTTTGGCATGGGCCGGGGATTCTATTCGAGTTTGCCCCTCTGTGAGTTCTAATCTATGCTCTACACCTACGTCATTCTAATTTACATTGAATTAATTAATGCGTGTGTGTGTGTGTCCACGCCAGTACTGACTGGGCCTTGAACTCAGGGCCTGGGTGCTGCTTGCTACTACTGTCCCTTGGCGTCTTTCAAGGCTGGTGCTTGAGCGACCTCTCCACTTTGGGTGGTTCATTGCAGAGCAAAGGGACTTTCCTGCCCAGGCTGGCTTTGAACCACGATCCTCAGATTCCCCCCCCCCCACTTGGTGCAGATGGGGCCTGGGGCTTGAACTCAGGGCCTGGGTGCTGCCCCCTGAGCTTTTGTGCTCAAGGCTGGCACTCTACCCCTTGAGCCACATGGTTCCACTGCTAATGTTTTGGCGGTTAATTGGAGTTAAGGGTCTCATGGACTTTCTTGCTTGGGTTGGCTTCAAATGCTGATCCTCAGCTCTTAGCCTCCTGAGTGAGGCTAGAGGTGTTACAGGTGTGAGGAACTGCTGCTTTTTCTTCCTCTTTTGTGTGTTTGTGTGTGTGCGTGGGTGCATGCATGTGTGTGTGTGTGGGGGGGGGTTGAACTCTAGGCCTGGGCACTGACCCTTAGCTCTTCAGCTCAAGGCGAGTGCCACAGCACCACTTCCGGTTTTCTGGTGGTTCACTGGCGATCAGAGTCTCAGGGCCTTTCCTGCCCGGGCTGGCTTTGAACCACGATCCTCCGATCTCAGCCTCCTGAGTAGCTAGGATGACAGGCCTGGAGCACCAGCACCCAGCTTCTACCTCACTTTTAAAATTCTCTGTAAGGGGTCATGATGTCCACCATGATGGCCACTTCAGTCTCCCGGGCTGCCCTGGCTTCCTGTGGGCAAGGACGGGGTATGTGTGTGTGTGTGTGTGTGTGTTCTGGTGTTGTGGTCTTTACTGCTGCTCTTGCAGGTGCTGGGCGCCCTCTTCTTGGCCATTGGTCTCTGGGCCTGGGGGGAGAAGGTAAGACAGTGACGGAGATCATGGGCCCCCCTCCCCACAGGGGGAGGGGGAGGGGAGGGGAAGGCCATCCCCCCTCCCCCCATGCCTACCTCTGCGCCCCTCTGCACAGGGAGTCCTCTCCAACATCTCAGCGCTGACAGACCTGGGCGGCCTCGACCCGGTGTGGCTGTTTGTGGTGGTCGGAGGTGTCATGTCGGTGCTCGGCTTTGCGGGCTGCATCGGGGCTCTCCGAGAGAACACCTTCCTGCTCAAGTTTGTAAGCCGCACCCCTCCGTCCCAGCCAGGGAACCCCATCCTTTGGTTCCTTTACTTCTTGCAATACAGTTGGGGCTCAGTAGTGGGGAGCCTGTGTCACGTTGTTAGCACCCTCAGATTGTCCGTTTATTTATTTATTTATGCCGGTAGTGGGTCTTGAACTCAGGGCCTCATGCTCTTGCTTGGCTTTTCTTCCTCTGCTCAGGTGGGTGCTCTACCACTTGAGCAACACCTCCATGTATGGTTTTTTGGCTAGTTAATCAGAGGTTAGACTTTGAACCCTGATCCTCAGATCTCAGCCTCCTGAGTAGCCTCATGCTGCTTCTATTTATTAGACTCCTTTGGAGTCTCAGTGACCACAACTCAGTGGCCTACGCCCTGAAATGTATTCATTGGCTCCTGAAAAGGCCTAGGGCATTTGGGGTGCAGGTGTATTTGGATGCCCAGGAACTTGGCCACATTTCTGTTTCTCCACTTGGCTCCTGTTGGGTTGGGGCCAGTCTTAGTCCTTGGGAGTGGTGGATGGGGACCTAGGAAGGGGTACGGGGTGCTTGGCCTCTCAAGAGGTCCTGGGGGAGTTCAGGAACTTTTCTCCCACTTCTTCTCCCACATCATTTTAATTGCTTCTCCTTGGCTCTGATTGGCCATCTCTGGGCCAATCACTGTGGGCTGGGAGGAGCTGGTGCTCTGATTGGTGGTGGGCTGGAGGCACATGCTCAGTGGTGTAGCTGGGAATGGGAAA